CTCCTCCTGGATTGGCATCCCAAGGAACGGCCCCTCACTCACCGATCTCTGCCAGGAGCTGCTCCGACACCTTCACCCGGAGAGGCTGCAGAGGGGGGGAGAAGAGAGGAGCAGCTCAGCTCTGGATCCCTTTTCCCAGCTGGAAGGAGCTGGGATTACGGTGCTGGAGCCCCCGAATTCCTGCCCCATCTCTCCACGGAGATCTCACACACCCAGCATCCCACAAAAGATTCCCAACAGGAATCTATCTGCTCCCTTGGAGCACCAGCAGGAGCACCTGGGTGTCCATCCTCCCTTCCAGGACCCTCCTCTCCTGCTTCCAGGCCCCTGGAGTTGTGCCAAGAGTGGGGATTCCTCGCACAACTCCTTGTGCTTCCCGGGGGTGGAGGAACCAGCAGCAAAAAAAGCTTTTCCAGTGGCAAACCCCACCAAAACCACTTCCAAAACACTCCCAACACCATCCCAGGACACAAGGGGGACGCTGGAATTCCAGCTGTTCCCTGTAAGGACGAGGAATCCTGTGCCACAGCAAGAGCTCCAGGAGCCCAAATCCCAAATCCCCTTCCTGGTTTGGCATCTTAAGGAACAGCCCCACGCAGGGAAGAGGAGCTGGTGATCCCAAGGGTGGGGGTGCCCTGGATCCTGCTCTTACTGCGCTCCTGTCCAGGAAGATATTCCAGATCTCCTTCCCCAAAGCTCGGGAATCCTTGGCTGTGCTCTGCTGGAAAACCTCCGTGCACAGGTAGAAGAGCTGCAGGGAAAAGGGAAGGAGGAGGAATGTTGGGAAGGGGGGGAGAGAGGGAGGGAAAAGGCTCAGCCCTGAGCCACAGAACGGGAAGTGATCCCGAGGGTTGGGAGGAAGTGTCACCCCATGGAAGTGTCACCCTAAGGAAGTGTCACCCCATGGAAGTGTCACCCTAAGGAAGTGTCACCCTCCCCGTGCTGTGGGAAACCCCCTGGCTGAGGCAGGAAGCTGTGGGAAGCACCAGCTTGGGGATGCCAGGAATGTGCAGGAATGTGCCTCGGGAATACGGGGGAAGGTGCCTCGGGCTCAGGTATTCCCGGGATTCCCCTGGGGCTCAGGTATTCCCAGGATTCCCCTGGGGCTCAGGTATTCCCGGGATTCCCCTCGGGCTCAGGTATTCCCGGGATTCCCCTGGGGCTCAGGTATTCCCGGGATT